TATGTGAAATCCCAGTATACTGTACCTCAAAGAAATAAACCAGTTTGTTACATCCTCATCACTTTCAAATAGTGCCTCCTGTCTTCTGCAATCCCCCCCCCTTGTGAAACTGAACAGGTAAGAAGTGTGCGCACATACATTAACACGTAGGTCCTCTCTCTGTATAAACACACTGGGTTAGAGGGCGAGTGCCACCTTCTGTATTTATGTTCGGGTGAGTAAGCCTAGTGTAGTCTGGGTTTTTCTGCTCTATCTTTGGTTTTAGTTGTAATCTTAACAGGGTAGGGAAGAGGTCTTATGTTTTGTTAATTTCTTTCCTTTGACGCGTCCATGTTCTTTTCCCTGGGTCTGGCCCATCCTCCCGTGTTCCCAGCACCCAAATCCCTGTATTGGTTCAGTCAGAAAGACTGAAAGCTATTGCTCACCATGAAACCATGACACTGAAATCTACTAATCAAGCCAGAAATCTTGATGTAGTTCTGGACTCAGACCTAAATATCAACAGTCACATAAAGACAATTACAAAATCAGCCTCCCACCACCTTAAAAATAGAGCAAGAATTAAAGGATTTCTCTCTAAACCAGATACAGAAAAGCTTGTTCATGTGTTTATTTTCAGAAGGCTAGACTATTGTAATGGTGTCTTCACATGTCTTGGTAATAAATCAGTCAGACAGCTGCAGCTCATCCAGAATGCTGCCACCAGAGTCCTCACTAACACCAAGGAAGTAGAGCATATTACAAAGCTCCTTAAATCACTGCACTGACTTCCTGTGCATCACAGGATTGATTTAAAAATATTATTTCTTGTGTACAAGGCACTAAATGGCACTAATTTCCTTGAACGTTGTGAAGCATCCAGACCCCTAAGGGCATCTGGGAAAGGTTTACTCAGTGTCCCAGAATGAAGACCAAGCAGGTGAAGCAGCTTTTACTCTCTATGCTCCCTGTCTGTGGAACAAGCTTCCTGAAGACCTGAGGTCTGCTAACACTGTCAGCTCATTATAATCAGGGCTTAAAACGTTACTGTTTGCTGCAGCTTTTCAATAAACTAAATCAGGAGGAGTTTAGTCATACGCTGCCTCTACAATGTCACTTCTTTTCAGTTAACAATTTATTTGTTATTTGGGCTTTTAGGCTTTTTAAAATGATCTTTTAAATCAACAATGAATGCGTTTGCAATTCCCACCCCAAAGTTCCGAGGTACCAAAAAAACAATAGTACTTTGTGTACTGGAACTTTTGGTACTGGTACTCGACCCAAAGTCAATGGAAATGGGAAAGTACCAAATGTACCGTACCTGGTGCAGCGGAAAAGCAGCCTGAATAAACTTGCCTTGCTTCGCAATTGGATTGAAAGGTTACTGCCATAAACAGCTCATGTAAATGTGAAAGACCAGAAGGCAGCGGGAGAGAGAAAGAGAAGCTCCACTAGCAGAAGAAAACGAAACACAGTAAAACACACTCCACCTCATACAGGGAGAGAGAAGCGTGTGTGTGAACAGACTCACATTGTAAGAATTCTGATCTGGTCCTGGGCACTAATACCGGTAGGATGGTGTCTTTGGTAACTAGAAGGAGACAGAGAGAAACAGGGATGTGAGTGAAAGGAATTTACTTGTGGGAGATGGACTTCACTCACTGTGGAGACAACAGCAGTAGATTATTATCATTATGAGGGACAATAACAGGCATTTTAACAAACTGCAAATCATGGGAGTTACACATAATAAAGATTTTTCTTTCTATAATGTAGAAGAAACATGTTTCATGTGATCTGGGTTTTGCAGCCAGTAGAATGTGGAGCTCTTTCGCCAGTTATCACAAAGATTTAAACATGAAAACAAACTGACTTGGTCACACAAATGTGAGGCTGACTGTACTGCAAACTCTCTCTGCATGGTCTACATCAGGGGTGGCCAGTCTTACCCGCAAAGTGCCAGTGTGTATGCAGGTCTTTGGGATAACCTTTAGGTCAGCTGTTCGACCCCAGGTATGAGGACTCTTCAGCCAATCAGTCCTCTAATTAGTAATCCAGCAAAAGCCTGCAGACAGCAGCCCTTTCTGGGTAAGATTGGCCACCCCTGGTCTATATTAACATGAACAAACTAGAAAATGTATTAACCTGTATGATGGATCTCTGCCATTTTCTTTCTGCAAACATTCTCCAGTTGATCTTTCAGTTCAGAAACCCCCTTCCTTAAATTCCCAAAATCAGATCTTGGACTGACAGAGATTCTGGGTCCAAATCCAGCTTCAGGGTTGACAGGAAGACCCTGGAACCTCTACAGACACACAGTCTGATTAAACAGCTTCATCAAAACAAATGTGTATTGTAATGTAATTAACAGGACCATTAACATCTGACAAATGACAGACTAGCTGAAATACAAATGA